GGGGGGGGGGATGTAATGAAACTGTGGTATTTATATACATGTAAATTACACTATTTTAATTTTAAATATTTGGTGACAGTTTTTGTTGGCTATAGCAGCAATAATTTGACACTAGAACTCCATAATGTCCTGTAGAACAGTTAGCTATATTATTGTAATAGACTTGTGAAGATTCTTTTGTCTATAGCTACTGTCTGATCTTACCATCCAATATTTCATCTACTTGCAGTCAGACTTCATCTGGGAATGAGGTTGTGACAGGCATGACTACCTATCACCCCCTCTGGTGTGCTATTTGGTCAGATCCCCCAGGATAAAATAATAAAAAAAAATTAATCTGATTTGTTTTTTGTTAAATATATTTACAGCTCCTGTAATACAATGCACCTACAGCATATTTCATTTGTTGCAGCTGAAGTATATGACTGGGTTTGGAAATGAGTTTACGTCTGAAGATCCCAGATGTGCAGGTGCCTTACCTGAAGGCCAGGTAAATCTTGTTTTGAAGTATCTCAAACAATGACAGGGTTTTGTAAGAGTACAAAATCAAATAATTTCTTACTTAATTAATTAGAGGGTTAATGAACTTACCGTAGGTGAACGATATTTGACCTGGATTCCACGTCATCGTCGGTGACAGAATAGGGTTCACATGAGAGATGCGCACGCAGCGTCATATTTCAAAGTAGTTGTAGTGTGGACCACAGAGTGACAGAAAGGTTCACGGGAAGGGAACTATCCCAGGGTGGGATGTGAACCCTATTCTGTCACCCACGATGATGTGGAATCCAGGTAAAATATCACTTACCTACGGTAAGTAAGTTTATTTAACCCTCTAATTCCACATCACCGTCTAGTGGCATAATAGGCTCCACATGAGATGTTCAAAGTGTGGTCCAGACACAACACCTTACAAAGTTTTTTGAAACCAGCAAATAAAGGCACAAACACTATGTGTTTAAATCAACATGTATTAACTGCAAAGAACAATGAATTTGTTTATCAAACAACTTGTAAATGTTCAGCATATTCGATGCAAAAGAGAAATTCATCTGCACAATTTGCAGGAAACAACTCTAAGTGCAGAAGCTGCAGTTATAAACAGCATAATTAAATGTTCAAAAGAACTCCATGTGCACAATTTGCAGGAAACAACTGTAACTGCACAAATTGCAGCTTAAAAAGTAAAATCAAATAAACAGTTCATAAAACAGCTCCCTGTAAATCTGAATGTCCATGTCAGACACCAGTGCCAGACAAAATAGCATCTGCAAACTGGCCCTGTTGAGTTATTTCTGTATCGTAATATTTAGCAAATGTGCAATCTTCAGACCATCCTGCCGTCTTCAAAATAGTGTCTAATGGCACTTCAGCAAGTTTTGCTTGTGAAGATGCTGCACTACGTGTGCTGTGTGGAGTAAATATCTCCATGTCAGAATTGTCTATACCAGCCATATTCATAGTTTGCTTAATCCATCAAGATATGGTAGATTTGGCTGCTGCCTTACATGGCTTTACAGATGTTAAAAACAATCTTGTGATATTTCCTCTTAAATGTTTGACTCTGTCCATGTATTCCATTAAGACAGTACATAAACATAATTGTTTGGTGCATATGCTATTTCAGGAATGTGGTGACCTGGACTTGACTGCTTCAGTTAATCACCAAATCTAAATGTGACTTTAGACTTATTAATTGTGATGTTACGAATATCAATAAGATGCAACAATTGTATTCTTTGACCTGTCAATAACATAGTCAATGTCAATGCTTTCTTGCTCAGTTGTAAAAGATTAAGTTTTTTCACAGGTGAAAGTTTTTTGAGGTAATTCAAAAGCAAACTTGTGTCCCATATTACATTGTTCCTTGGTAATGCAGGTCTAGAAGTAAAAACTCCTCTCATCAGTCTGACCACGTGAGGATGAGCAACTGCTGGACACTTATCCACCAAAATAAAAGTTGAAAGTGCTGATCTTGCTGTATTTAGAGCAGAATATCCAAGGCCCATATCAAAGCAATGGGCTAAAAAAAATACAACATCAGTTACATTTGGTAACAAGGTATATGCAACTGATAACCACATATCACTGTATTAACAGTATGTCAGCAGACATGCTTTAGCACTCAAAGAGCTCAAAACACTGCAGAAATATTAGTTTCATGCAGCTTGTAAATCTGCATTCGCTTCGCTGAGAAACCGCGCAATGAATGACGCTGAGCTGCACGCGCATCTCTCATGTGGAGCCTATAACGTCACTAGACGGTGATTTGGAATCTTAATCAACAATGTATAGAACTTGAATATCTAGGTTTTTTTAGTCTGTATATAACTAACATAGGTTAATGGTTTTATTAATAATGAGTCTTGATGTATTAGTGAGTCCAAATATAAATGATATAAAATGCAGCTCACTGTTCAGTTTTATGAATAAGCTCATGTTTTTGTCTAGCTTTATCATATCTATTTAAAATCCCTAGAGTACAATCACTACTTAACATGTTTTTCATTGAATTTTATAGGAATGAATAAGACAGTGTTTTTACCTATATTGGTTGTCTATTGATTTTTTTTTTCAGAATAACCCCCAAAAATGTAACTATGGATTATATGCTGAGCAGCTGTCTGGAAGTGCCTTTACAGCTCCCAGAGATTCAAATAAAAGAAGGTAATTAAATATTAGATAGACTTTGGCATGATTTTTGTAAAGGCAAGCAGAATAATAGGAGATTTGAAGATAGGACACCATAGTATGTTTAACTTCAATGTAAATCACCTAGTACCTACTTTTCAAATCGGAAATTATCTTTTTCCAAATGGCCACCTATTAAAATTCTTATTAATCAAGCTTTGACCTTCAGCTTAAATATTGGTGCAATTCATGGAAGTTGATTTCTCCATTTTTGGTTTATTTATTTATTTATTTATTTATTTATTTATTATATTTTTGCCAATCTATAAGTTCCATGTATTAAGCACATTTGCTCTGTTTTAGTTGGCTGTATCGCATTAGGCCTTCAGTAATGCACAAACCTTTTGAACTTATGGAACCAGGAAATTTCACTAATAATTGGACTGATACACATCCCAATCCCAACCAGGTTTGAGAAAGTTTGTATTTCAACTTAAAATTATGCTTCAAAGTTCCTAAACAACTCATAATTGTGAGTAGAAATTAATTCAGAATTTTTCATCACTCACAATTTAGGAAGATTTAACATCTCAAGCAAGCTAGAAAAATTTTTTTAGTTCAAGGTACTTCACCTGTTTTAAAAATTATGCCATTGACCTTTTTTCAGCTGAGATGGAAACCATTTGATATTCCCAACAAAAATGGAAAGAAGGTTGATTTTGTTGAGGTAGGAATGATGCATGTCTCCGAGTGTCAAGAAAGAAATGCATAATATAAGTTAACTTATTTTCACCTTGCAAGTCAAAGTCAGGATGATGAAATGTTTTCTTCAATTATTTAAACTGTTCATGTTATGTGAAAATAACTTTAGGTAAAGCAACTATCAAGAATGACATGCTTGAAGTAAATGTTCAGAATTTTTGGTTTGTCCCATGTGTGTGTGTGTGTGTGTGTGTGTGTGTGTGTGTGTGTGTGTGTGTGTGTGTGTGTGTGTGTGTGAAAAAACTGCTCCTTAGATATTGTTAACATATTCAGATATATTATGTATAAAGGAAACTGTGTTAAAGTACCAGTGTTTCCAGGGCCTGGCCACAGTGTGTGGTGCTGGTGATGCCAGGGCAAGGCATGGGTGTGGAGTTCATATCTTTGCTTGCAATGCCTCCATGACAAACAGGTGAGCAGCTTGAAGGGAAGTTGGAAATGGATATTCTTTGGAATGAATTATGTTATCCATTGCAACATGATATTAGATAAAGGTGAAAAATAAGTGCAAATTGTGAAAGGTCATCTCTGAATCAGTTTTAAGGATATTCCAAGATTTTGCATAAATATTACCAATAAATAACACATTAAGGCATTATTGATAAATTGATAAATAGGTCAATCAATTATTTAATAACTTTTTTTTGTAAAATTATTACAAAGGTAGGTATAAATTTCTGATAAGATTTAAATGGTTTACTCTACAATTGTGTTTGTTCCATCAGACAAGTTATTTAAAACTTTTTTTGTTTTCTTTACAGATGTTTTTACAACTCTGACGGTGAAATGTTGATAGGTTAGTATTACTACTATGATAATTCTTAGGATGTCTATGTATGTTTTCAAGGGCATATTTTTATCCATGGGTGAATAATATAAAAATATTAGACAATAAAACTATTGTTTTTTATTTCTTTAGTTCCACAACAGGGTCCACTGCTGATTACTACTGAATTTGGAATGATGCATGTCCATCCAAATGAAATTTGTGTTATTCAGGTAATTCAGATGCAACCAAAATTATATCATTCTTATGATAATGTTATATAGCTGTTAATTTATGCTTTCATGATTTGGGGGAAGGGGGTCTTTGAGGCATTTGCATGTAAAAGTGACCATATCTTTCATCTGTAGAGACTCACTCTTGACTGAAAAATGAGTCCCTCTTTTTTTATGACCCATTTCAGAAGGGGGTTTGACTATGCTTAGATCAACTTCCAAGATTAAAAGACCTGCTGGGATGGGTAATTCTAAGTTAGGTTCACCCACTAGAAACAGGGCATAAAATTAAAGTACAGAAGGGCAAAATGCTCAATTAGCCTTTTTCATCTTTTCCGGAAATTGAAATTGCATTGTGGGTAGGAGAGCCCTGCTAAACAC